AGGGCAGTGTCACTGGCCCTCATATGTGGGATCCGAACCGGGGCCCTCTGGCGTCCCAAGCCAGCTCTTAACCAACGCACCACTCGGCAGGCCCTGTACAAATTCTTTTAAATGCACCTCGTACACCTTTCAGAAAAAAACTAAATGTTTGCTGAGATGAACATGTCTTTTGAATTTCTTTCAGGAACCTAGGAGATGTTCCAAATGCAACATATTTCCAGAATACAGCTTACTTAACAAGATATAAAGTAATAATAGGACAAAGTGTTGGTAACTGGTGAAAAATAATGAACAAGAAGTGTTCGTTAGGAAAGAGATTTTTCAGCATTTTGCCAACACTGCCCAGGGCAAAGCATACCAATTCCTCTCAGTGGTGAGATTCTTTGAGGATACAAACCATACTATGCCCATCTTTTTATCATTCACTTCTAGGACAGCTCCCAAACATGAGATGTTCAATACGTATTTGTGGAACTGGACTGGATAACCACACAAGTTACAGACACGTCACAGACTTAAGAAAGACTGTATGTCAGGCAATATATCAAAATATAATCTGGTGTGGAGATCTTTCTGGTCACACTGTTTTCCTGATTCTGTGCTTACTGAACAACCTTCTCAGCTACGTGTGGTTCCCTCCTTCACAAGGAGTCAAACACTCCCAGGGATCACTCCCATTACTCTTCATGCTTTAAGTGAATAAACTCTCATTCTTGTTTATCAGCCTTTTGTGAGATTCACCAGTAGGAATCGGCCCCTTGGGCCTGATCACCCTTGACTGAAGAGACATAAACCTGAACCTGCTTAGATGATGTCCAGGGAGTGGATCCTTGGGGGGCCCATACAGGTGTAGCCATATTGAAAAAGTCGGCTGACCTTTCTCCAGTGTTCTAACGTGTCTTGGTAGGGGGTGTTTGGAAAATTCACTGTGCCCCACCTGGGCCCAGGACTGTGTTCTTACCTCTGTAATCCCCGTACAGGTTAGGGAGGAGGGTGTGACTGGCCCAGGGGTAGAAATGCTTAAGAAGTTTGATCTCTGAAAAACGATGAGAAAAGCTCTTCCGGAGAGCTTGATGGAGGTAAAATCTACTGGAGTTCTGTGCAGAGTAGACTGTAGTCATCAATAGGATAAGGAAGAGGATTTGTACTATTGTAGAAGAGGAAAAAAAATCACAGTTGAGCCTTTAGCTTAGAAAGCCTCTACAACTTTTCTTCATTTTTTCCTAAGTCTATATATAGACTTTTATAGGTCAAAAATCGACAATTTCATATGGCTCTACCTAATAATTGTAAAGAGATAAGCCAAAGTATTTGGCTCTTAGTGATATATATATATATATATATATATATATATATATATATTCCTTCCCAGAATTATTCTGTCACTAATTAGAAATTTTACTTAAAATCCCACACTAAAATTGTGTACTTTAGTTCCTAGAACTAAATGCCCCCAAACCTCTCTTCCCCTCCTCCCTCCATTCCCCCTCTCTACCTGTGTTCACCAGAAGAAAAAGCATGGTAAAAACAGAATTTGTCTTCTTTGGTTCAGGGAATCCAAACACTAGTGGTGTTGAACCCAATTACCTTGTACTTACAGGATAGCCATTTTTCAAAGCACATTCATTTTTCCTCCACCCTGTCAATTATGTAGATCTTTTTGTTGTTATATTTTGTAGGTAGAGAAGGTAACTTATCCAAGCACTCAGAGCTCAAGACTCCAAGTTCAGGAATCTTTCCATTTACTATACCACCTTGTTTACTGGAATCTAGAATTTTTAAAGGTAATTATCTTAAAATGCCTTTCCCCAGTGAATATTTTCCATTTTATTCCCACTCTCACTCTCCTTGCTGGGAAACGTGCTGCAGTACGAACATGCTACCATTAATTATCTCCATACCCAAAATATCTCCTGTCAGCTTGAAGAGTTTTTTTTCTTTCAAGGTTCTTTCTGGGAGCTTCACTGAACTGTTCATAGTTGGGGCTACATAGATGGGGTTCTTCTTATCTCTTGATCCAGGTAATGATGAAGAACATTTTGCTGTCAAAAATTCAAATATAGGCAAAAAAATGTTATATTCCATTAAGCAGTTACTAACATTTATTGAGAATCTACTATGAGATGATGAATGCTCAAGAAACAAGAAAGTTAATTAAGCAGCGCTTCTCAAGCTATCATGAAGGACTTCTTTAAAAACATTCCAGTCCATCAAAGACTGGTACTTTTGTAAAATACAATAAAAATTAATTACTAGAAAAATGAAATAGAACAGAGGCCTATAAAATTCAAGCTCCATTTTGAAAATTAGATTCATAGGCCTAAAATTAGTCTGCCCAACTGCTATAAAAGTTTATAAATTTGCTTACTCTCAATTTCTGTACTTACCTTGGACTGGAAACAAACAGTTCTAGTCCGTGCACCATGTGTTGCAAGCTCTGTTTTAGAGCGGTGCTGCTCAAATTTTAATGTGTATGGGAATCATCTGGTAATTTTGTTAAATGCAAATTCTGGGGTGAGGTCTAAGATTCTGCATTTCTGACAATTCCAGGATATGCCAATATTACTAATCATAACGTTTACCGCCAGAGAACATCCTATTTTACATTCTATTTGAAGTGACACTGGTGCCTTATCACTCACTGAGGAAGTCGAACAGAACGACTTTACTTCCTGTTTTAAAAGTGGAATCACTTCCACTCCTCATTGCACTAACCTATATTCAAAACTGTATAGGAAATTCTGGATTCAACCTCTGCCTACTTCTTGATCTAATGTTTTTCTATGACTAGCATACATAATAGCATTTATAGTAAAAATGCCTCTCTATGGCCTCCATTTATGACTTCCAAAAGCACATGTGGAAGCTCCCATCGCTGGTTCTAGTTCTTGCAGCTGTTATTACTTACACTAGGGGGCTATGGTATGCCGTGAGTTACAATAATGCTAACCCCCTAACTTTATAGCATACCCCTTCCTAATACTACCCTTATGAGCATAATTATAACCAGTTCTATCTGTATACGCCAAACAGATTTAAAAATTACTCATTGCATACTCTCCTGTCAGCCATGTAGCACTAGTAATTGGAGCTATCCTTATTCAAACACCATGAAGCTACACAGGAACCACTGCCCTGATGATCACACATGGCCTTACATCCTCAATACTATTCTGCCTAGCAAACTCAAATTATGAACAAATTATGAACTATAATTTTAGCTGGCAGCCTACAAACAATTCTTCCACTGATAGCAGCATGATGACTACTAACAAGTCTTACTAATCTAGCTTTACCCCCAACAATTAATTTAATTGGAGAATTATTCATAGTTATGTCAACATTCTCATGGTCTAATATTTCTATCACTCTTATAGGAGTTAACATTGTTATGTTATTACATACTAATTATGACACAATGAGAAAAACACACACATCACATTAACATTAAACTATCTTTCTTACAAGAAAATACCCTCATAACAATACGCTTGCTGCCCCTCCTCCTCTTATCCTCCAACCCCAAAATCGTTTTTGGGAACTTTGTACTATAAATACAGTTTAATGAAAACAAGAGATTGTGAATCTAATAATAGAAACTAAAAATTCTATTTACCGTAAAAGTATGCAAGAACTGCTAATTCATGCCTCCATATATAACCGTAAGGATTTTTCAAACTTTTAAAGGGTAGGAGTTATCCACTGGTCTTAGGAACCAAAAAACTGGTACAACTCCAAATAAAATAAAATAATGAGTCTATTTGCCTCCTCAATACCAATTTCTCTACTTATACTAATCCCATTAGTCATAGCAGCCACCTCTAATATCTAGAAAAGCAAGATGAATCTTCATTATATAAAAATTACAATTTCATACGCCTTTATCACTAGCCTAATCTCAATAATATTTATCTAATCAGGCTAAGAAATAATAGTCTCAAATTGACATTGAATTGACTATTCAAACTAAAAATAACACTTAGGTTCAAGCTAGACTACTTCTCAATAATATTTATACCAGTAGTACTATTTGTCACATGATTATCACAGAATTCTCAATGTGATATATACACTCACCCTAAATTTAACCTATTTTTAAAATATGTCCTTTTATTTCTCATTAAAATACTAATCTTAGTCACTGCTAACAATCTTTCAATATTCATTGAATGAGAAGGAGAAGGAATATTCATTGGATGAGAAGAAGAAGGAATTATATCATTCTTACTAATCAGGTGATGACATAGTTGAACACACAAACACTGCAGCTTTTCAAGCAATCTTATAAATCAGAGCCATCAGATTTATTATGCCAGTGGCATGATTCTTGTTCAGTTTTAACTCAAGAGATTTTCAACAGATTTTACTCAACCTTAACAATACGAATTTCCCACTGGCTGGGCTCCTCCTAGCTGCAAGCTGGAAAATCTGCCCAATTTGGTCTTCACCCATGACTTCTGCTACAGGAGGCCCCACACCCATCTCGGCCCTACTCCACTCAAGTATAATAGTCATAGCAGGCATCAGGCATCTTCCTAATCTGATTTTACCCATTAACAGCTGGTGATCACAAGCGAGTTTTTAACCAGCTGAGCCACTCGGCCGGCCCTTTCCTACTCATCTTAATTAATGAAAATAACCCTCCCCTAACAAACTGTTAAACATCTCTTAGTTGGAAGCATCTTTGCTGGTTTATTTCCAACAATATTTCCCCAACACCTATTCCATAGAGAACTATGCCTTATTATCTGAAACTATCAGCCCTAGCTGTAACTGTACTAGGCTTTGCTCTGGCACTTGAACTCAACCTTACAACACAAAATCTAAAATTATCCTTCAAGCCTATTCAAATTCTCTGACCTCCCTGGATATTTTCTATCATACACCGTCTCCCACCATTAATGAACTTATTAGCAAGCCAAAAATCAGCATCACTATTACTTGACCTAATCTGACTAGAAAACGTTTTATCAAAATCAATCTCCCAATTCCAAATAAAAACTTCTACACTAGTGTCCAACCGAAAAGGCCTAGTCGTATTGTACTTCTCTTTTCTCATTACACTGACCCTAAGCCTGATTATACTTAGTTTTCATGAGTAATTTCTATAATAATGACTCCACTAAGCAAGGATCAACCAGCAACCACTACCTATCAAGTACCATAACTACATAAAGCAGCAATACCCATAGCTTCCTCCCTGAAAAAATCCAGAATCCCCTGTATCATAAATAACCCAACCCCCAGCCCATTAAACTTCAATACAACCTCCACCTCATTTTCTAGTACATGACATTCATATATACCTTCTATACTTAAACCAGAGAGATATGCTCCCAGGACAGTTTTAGATACTCATATCTCAGGATATTGTTCATTAGCCATAGCAGTTTTAGCCAAAGACTACCAATATTCTCCTTAAATAAATTAAAAATACTATCAAGCCAAAAAAGACCATTTAAAATGCATTACAATCCCACAGCCAAACCTTTCCCTCACAATCAATCCAAGTCCCACATAAATTGGTGAGGGGTTTGAAGAAAACCTACAAAACTAACCATAAATTAATATTATGTATTAAAATAAATACATGACATTATTCTTACATGAGATCTATCCATAACCAGTGACATGAAAAATCATCAATGTATTTCAACTATAAGAACAGTAATGACCAACATCCTAAAATACTCCCACTAATTAAAATGATCAACAACCCATTCATTGACCTACCAGCCCCATCACATATCTCCTGATGATGAAGCTTTGGATCCCTTCTAGGAATCTGCCTAGCCCTGCAAAGCCTAACAGGACTTTTCTTAGCTCTGCATTACACACCAGACACTATCACTGCTCTCTTCCATAACCTGCATCTGCTGGGACGTAAACTGCGGCTCAATTATCCAATATCTACATGCGAGTGGAGCGTCCTTATTCTTTATCTGCCTGTGTTTACACGTGGGATGAGGCCTATATTATGGATCTTACACATTCACAGAGGCCTGGAACATGGAAGTCATTTTATTAGTTACTGTAATAGTGACAGCACTGATAGGTTGTGTACTATCATGACATCAAATATCTTTCTGAGGGGCAAAAGTCATTACAAACCTTTCGTCAATCCCTTACCTCTGAACCAGCCTTGTCGAGTGAGTCTGAGGAGGATTCTCAGTCGACAAAGCCACCCTCAGCCGATTCTTTGCCTTCCACTTCATCCTTCCATTTATTACCTCAGCTCTAGTAAATGTACTTCTACCATTCCTTCATGAAACAGGATCCAACCACCCAACAGAAATCCCGTCCAACAGACAAAATTCCGTTCTATCTGTACTACACGATCAAAGATATCCTAGGACTTTTACTCCTAATTTTAACATTATTCACATTAGTCCTATTTCCACCTGATCTCCTAGGAGACCCAGACACCACCTATACCCCAGCCAACCCCCTAAACACTCCACACACATTAAGCCAGAACGGTATTTCCTATTTGTCTATGCAATCCTACGATCCATTCCCAACAAACCAGAAGCATACTAGCCCTAATTCTCTCCGCCTTAGTCCTAGCCATTATCCCAGAACACCATACATCAAAACACCGAAGCACAGCCTTCCCACCCCTCAGCAAGTGCCTGTTCTGACTGCTAGTAGCAGGCTTACTAATACTGATGTAAATTGGGGGACCAGTTGAACAGCCATTTATCATCATTGGCAAACCAGAATCTATTCAATGCTTTTTCCTTATTCTTGTACTAAGGCCCCTCACAAGTATTAGAGAAAACTATTTCTGAAAATGGAGAGTCTCTGTAACATATCTAGTACCTCGGTCTCAGAAACCAGAGAGAAGGGAAGCAACAGTTTCCCCTAGGACTCAACAAAGAAGCCCAAGTTCCATTGTCAATACCCAAAGCTGAAATTCTACTTAAACTACCTGAAGCACCCTATATGAGTGGCATAAAATTAATCTTACGTACTATGCCAGTATCGAAATATTTTACAAATTCACCCATCACTATGCATTTTGTGCATTAAACTATATGCCACATATATAATACATAAATGATATATAGTATATACTTATGTATAATCATATATTATTTACTCCATACATATAAGCATGTATGAAGGTGTGATAAAATGTCGCATGTTTAAATTAAAAAAAATTTATTACAGAAGATACATTGCCATTAATCCCCCTCAAAACACTCCCCCTTGCTTCAAACACACTTATCTCATTGTTCTTGCCACTTTCTGAAGCAGTTCTGGAAGTCCGCTTTCGTGGGTGTCTTTATTTGTGCTGTCATGGCTGCCTCGATGTTCTAAAGTGACTCAAAGCATTTACTTTTCATGGTCATTTTGACTTTGGGGAAGAGCCAGAAGTCACATGGTGCCAGATCCAGTGAATAAGGTGTATAAGGACACACTGTAATGTTTTTATTTGACAGAAATTGCCGTACCAGAAGCAATGTGTGACACGGAGCCTTTCCGTTGTGATCACAAAACACGGTGAATGCTGCTGCCGAATACCATCCAATGGAAAGGCAGGGATCTTCAATATGGGAAGTGGCGTGTCAAACCTTAGTAACAGTGTATGACAAATTTCAACTTGTTCAGTGCAGTCAGTTGTGTGTGAGCTATAGTTGAGAGAAGGTGTGTTTTAAAGTGTGCCATAAATCATCCTCCATCATGACAATACTCCGTGTCACACATTGGTTCTGGTGTATGGCAATTTCTGTAACAAACATTACGGTGTGTCCTCACTCACCTTATTCACTGGATCTGGTACCATGCGATTCCTGGCTCTTCCCCAAAGTAAAAATGATTCAGGACATCAAGGCAGTCATGACAGAGTAACTAAAGACACTCACGAAAGAGGACTTCCAGAACTGCTTCACAAAGTGGCAAGAACAATGGGATAAGTGTGTTCACAGCAAGGCGGGGTATTATGAGCAGGATTAAAGGCAATGTGTCTTTTACTGTAATAATTTTTTTTTAATTTAAACATTCACCGTATTGTCTGATCACACCTCATACATCAATCTATATATATTACATAATACATAACTGGTTCTTGGACATACATTTAACTTTATCACATGCATATCTATATCACAATAATGTCTGTTATTACATAGTACATATTATTGATTTTACATACCACATTAAACCAAATCATTTCCAGTCAACAGGTGTATTACAGCCTATAAACAGTTCTTTTTTTTTTTTTTTTTTTTTTTTTAGCTGAGCCATCCCGCCACCTGTTGGCAGCTCACGGCTACTCAGCTCGGGCTGACTCGAACCGCTGTTGCTCAGAGCTCAAACTCTTGAGCGAGCTCTTAACCAACTGAGCCACTCAGCCGGCCCTTTAAACAGTTCTTAACTACCAAGCCCTGAGAAACCAGCAACACTTCCACAAACGTACCCGCTCTTCTCACCCCAGGCCCATCAATCATGAGGGTCTATATATGAGCTGCAAACATCTGATCTTATTTTGGGACCATGTCACCTAAAGTCGCCCACTCTTTCTCCTTAAATAAGCCATCTCAGTGGGTTAGTGACTAAGCAGCCTAGCTGACACACAACTGTGATGTCATGCCTCTGGTGTTTTTGAAATTTTGGGTATGCTAGAATTCAGGGGGAGGAGGGGAGGGGTACAGGAGAGAGTGGGGACGGGGTTGGGGAAGGTATCAAGAGGAAGTAACATTTGATATTTGTTTTGAAGTATTATCATCAGATAGAGCTCTCCAGATGGACAAGAAAAAAATAAGTCATTTTAGGCAGTTGAGAACAGCAATTCAAGAGCATGGAGAAATGAAATAAGGACTAAAAAGGCTTACAGTTGGCTTATTAATATTTTTAATTTCATAAGGAATGGGGTGTGCCTACCCCTTAGTAGCGTGTCCACTGCTGAGCTTAAGAAATCAGTCACTGCTAACACAGTCTGTTTTGTACCTCTGTGGTGGTATCATTGGTTTCCTTCAGAGAGGTAATCCTCTCCTGAATTTTGGAGTTCATAATTTCCATGCATTTATTCATAAAAAAAATCCTCTAAGCAAGACATGCATTATTTTGCATGATTTAAAATATTTTTCTGCCCTGCACTGTGTTTGTGCGGCTTGTCCACGTATTGAGTAACTCTAGTCAATTACAAGGCAGACTCCCTCAGGCTTGGTGACTGAATGTGAGGACTAAGACAGGAATTTAGGATGACTCTGACATTTTGAGAGAATGGCGACGCTCTTAATGGATATGAGAAAATATAGTGAAGTAGTAATATATTTGTGGGGCAGGCAAGTACGCATGTGGAGAGCATGCTTAACTTGAGATGCCTGCAGGCATTCAGATGAAGATGGTGAGCAGCTGGCAACAGCACGTGGGGCTCAGGAGTGAGGACGATTGAGGAGACCCAGAACTCAGGTGAGAGATGGAGCACTGAGGGAGAGGGTGACAGGGCCTCGGGAGGAATGTGGAAGGAGTTACTAGTTGGCCTTGGGCACAGGGGGAGGAGCAACCAGCTGATTAAAGACCCCCCAATGGACAAAACCACCTGAGTCAGTGAGTCAGCTATAAGCACTGTTCTGATATCATCCGCCCTTTGCAAAATGAGATATTAATACTTAGAACTATTTGAATTACCTGAGAGTGCCAAGATCCTCTTTGTTTGTTGTTCCTTCTCTTTGGCAAGCCACGGCATCCTGTTCAGAATCAGTGAAAATAACAATGTGAGGACGATTACCTAGATAGGAAAATCATAGGAGAAACTAATGAGTAGGTATTACAGGATCCAAGGTGACATTATCATGTAAAAGTGAAGGTGTTATTAATCAATTTCGATTATTTGGCCATTTTTATGGAAAACTGAGGATTAAACAAATTCATAATTGTTTTTGCATAATCATGGGGACTTGGAAGGGTCCCAAGTATCTAAATAAACGCTAGTATTTGTATTTTTGCCTGTAGTCCTTAATCTGCTTGGCTAGGAAAGCTTAAACCAGGGGTGTCAAACCCAATTAAAACACGGGCCATTTGGTGCAACAGGCAAGGTTCACACGGGTCACATCACATTTACAAATTTTGTTAAATTTATATTCTGAAGTGAGGATTCAGGAATATGGATAGGATAATTAAAACACTATATAATTGCTTTTATTTAAACATTTATTTTATTTAATGTATTTATAAAACAAAAATTATTCTTTTTTACCCGAGTGCTCTTTTTAACCTTTTCGCTATTGGGATCTGTTTACATTACGTGACACTGAGAGTGGCACACATATCGCTTCCAAACGTCGCCGGAACTGAGTCAGCGCGTTTATACATGCCCACAGGCCCCCAGGAAAGGCACTGGGCCACGTGTATACTCATCTTCAGTAGTTAAAGGGTTAACGAGAGAATTGTGTGTACGGTATTGCCTCGATCTCCCCTAAGCACTATTTTCTTCATAACAATTTTTTCTATTTTCATTTTATTTCAGAGCATCGTGGGCCACAACAAATTACCTCGAGGGCCGCATGTGGCCCGCGGGTCGCCAGTTTGACACCCCTGGCTTAAACTATTAAATGATTTGTGATGATCTAAATTGTTCAATAACACCTGTCTTTGGAAGTCCTTTGATGAGCTAGACTGGAGAAGCTACACTTCAAAGTTCCAAGGATTAAATCTGTTTTGCTAAAGAAGTCATGAAATCTTAGAATTGAATACAACCTTAAGTATTCCCCACTCCTTAAATTTCCATGGAGGAGGAAAGTGCTCCATTCCTCGGGAGAATAAAGGGACGGTGATATTCCACACACCCCTGCCCCACCTGACCTCACTGGGTAGAATCTGTGCAGGTGTTCCCTCCCACTTTCCTGGTGGACTATCCGCAGGTGGATCCATTCTGCTCTGCCCGGGCTTCCCAGGGGTGGGCCCAGTGGGCCAGGGCCAGGCCTCAAGCCTAAAGAGGGTGTGAGGATCCTCTGGTTGCTTCTACTTTTGTAGTTTAATGGGTTTCAGGCATAAATCTTGGGTGTGTCTGCTCTGCCAACTTAAGGTCGCCCTCTAGTGGACTGGCCGGAAGACTAGACTCGGGGGAAAGTAGTAGAATGTACACCTGGCTACGGGTCCAACTGAAATCTCCCCTGAACAGCTAGCAGCGGTTTGTACTTGATGCAATCACTCACAGTTAACATACCACGGTAACTGAGGTTTGGACTGTGTTGCTGGGAAGCTGTTATTTAACTAAACCATGCTAACTGGAATTTAGGCACAGTGAAACAGAGCAAAGACAGGACTGCCGGAATTCAGGCACGTATCACCGGACATTCTTATACCATGATCACACTTAAGGAAATTATCAATAATTTCCTAAAATAGCCTATCCATATTAAAAATGACTCATTTATTCCAAATATCCAGAACAGTCCTACTCCATTCCTATTTTTTATGATGTTGACTTTTCCAAGAAACTAGATTTGTTACTCAGAATGGCACCAATCCAAGTGTGACCCAGGGACCATCAGCATCACCTCGGAACTCATCAGAAATGCAGTCTTGGGCCCCATCCTGGAACTGCTATCCTCTATTTCAGTGTGTCTTTTAAAATTAATTATGCCTGGAACTAGTTGAGGCCTTTCAGTAAATTAGTATTCCTTTGCATTAGTGGAATTTTTTCCATTGTTTATTACCACTCCTATTAACTGCATGCTGGTTACCCTAGACCTACTGTCTATGTGCCTATTTCTTTATGATTTCAACATTTTTATATATGTTTTATGTTTTATATTATTTTATTTGATCTTCCTGGTCACCAATTTGGGTCTCAATAGTGACATTTTCTCTTTCAACTCAACTTCTGAACTTTAGAATTTGTAAATCACATTTTTCATTTCCTGAAAGCCTTTGTTTGTGTCTGATATACAATAAGCCCTCACTTAAAATCACAGATAGGTTCTTGGAAACTGTGACTTCAAGTAAAACCACATAACGAAACTAATTTTACCAGAGGCTAATTGATAGAAACAAGAGTTACGTTCCTACAGCATATTTCTGATCACAAAAACAACACCAAACTTCTAAATAAAGACCGAAAACACTTCTAAAGTTAAACATTGATATAAATGTAAGCTCTACATACATTTAAAAAAGATTAATAAAAACCAATGACAATTATTTTCCAACCTGCTTATTATTTTCCAACGTGCTTATTCCAGTTCCAGGTCCTGGGTGGTTGGAGCCTCTCCCCATAGCTCAAGGCACAGGGTGGGACCCCACATGAACAGGACGCCCCTCCATCACAGGACCACTCACACCCCCACGCACTCACTCAGTCTGGGACGAGGTAGACATGCCATTCACCTCACGTGAACAGCAATGGGATGGGGGAGGAAACTGCGTACCTGGAGAAAACCCATACAGGCATGAGGAGAATGTGCAAACTCCACATAGAAAATAGCCCTGGCCGTGAATCGATTTTTCCTCATCAACATTATAATAAAACAATGTTGAACGAAAAGATAGTATTCGAGGATCTGCTGTAATGGAATCACCTTAAGGGCTCTTGTTAGTTTTTAGTCTGTCTCCTCCAGCAGTTTTTAAAAATTCAGATCCACCTACACCTTGTACTTGGTCTCTCTGCTACGATCAGTGGGTCTCAAACAGGGCTGTACATTGGAATCACCTGGGAAGCTTTAAACATGTTGGGCCTCGGAGCCCATCTCCAGAAATTACGATTGAATTGGTTTGGAGTGATGCCTGGGAATCAGGGTTTTAAACTTTGCTTGAGGGAGCTCAGGCCCATCTTCTAGGGCTCTTAAAGGAGAGGCAATCCTGTCACCAAGATCCAGAGTATTGGAAACTCTATAGGACAAACAACTTGGTTTCTTTAACAAATATAATGTGAGAATAATAGCAAGAATAGAGAGTGAGAGAAAGGGAGAAAGGGAGGGGGAACCTGTAGATTAAGTATTAAAAATACTTAAGAGACATAGCAACTAGTTGCAACACATGGGCCTTATTTATATCTTGATTTGAACAAAACAACTTAAAATAAACATTTGAGACAACTGGAAAAAATCTGAACACTGAATTTTTAAAAAATTGTATAATAGACATAACAAAAAACTTACCATCAACCTTTTTAAAGTGTATAGTTTGGTAGTGTTAAGTACATTCATATTGTTGTGTGGCTATTAAGTAATTATTGCTAATTTATTTAGGTGTGATGATGGTTTTATGTTTTTTTTATATTTATAATACATATTTATAAATAAAATTTATAAATATTTATATTTATATTTTTTTATATTTATGTTTTAAAAAGAGGAGTCCCTATCTTTTAGAAATATACAGACAAATATTTATGGATAAAACATGAAGTCTGGCATTTTTTCTTCAAAATAGGTGAAACAAGATTGGCCATGAATTGGTAATTGTTGGAGCTAGGTAATACAACTTTAGGATTCACCATACTATTTCCTACACACTTTCCTGTAGGTTTGACATTTTCCTTAGTTAAAAGTTTTTAAAGTTTTATGTTGCTTTTTTTTTCCAAAGTAGTTTGTTGTCAACTGATTTTTTTTTTAACTCGTCCCTCTTAACTTCCCAATCCTTTTCTGCTATACTTCTACTAGTCTATCAGTCCTTGTTTTTGTTTTTTTATGACTACTTCACACATATTCCTAACAAATTTTGTTTCTTGGGAGATCAAATTGTCAGAAACATTAAGCATCTTGGATTGATACTGATGGACCTTAGTTTTCCAAGCTCCCTGCAACTGTAATGGTTCCTCCCATGCTGGTGTAACCTGGCCCGTTTTGCACGTACCTTTACTGGCTGGATGATGAAGATGTTTTGAAGCACTGATAAAATCAATGAAATGACCCAGCTACTGGCTTGATCTTTGTTTAGTTCCAGGCTATAAAGTGCTGTGAAAAAGGCTGTGGCCAGGCTAGTGACACCCAGGAAGAGCCAGCAGATATAAGTCAACCATCCGGACAGGCCATTAGAGGTGGACTTCTTCCCTTCTTCTGGGCTCAGGATGGGGAAACTGGTTGCCTCCCTTAAGAAGTTGAAGTAATAATCTCATAAGCAACAGCGGAGAATGGGTAGGAAGATTACAGGTGACACAGAAAGTGGGTGTGGTGCATTACCTGGATGGCCCTTGCTCTGTGGGATGCATGTGTGTTTCCAGGAGTTCCTGGAGTTTTTGCAGTTGGCTGGTTGCATCTAGGATGTCAGCAGGCTGGTCAACCTGGGTGGGACCCAGTGTGCGTAAGTGAGATTGCAGCCTCTGCACAACTCTGAGCAGGTAATAGCAGAAATGATGGTGGTTTTCAGGAATCACTGAAAATATATTCCAGGTTCACACATTAATAAGCAGAAGATTTCAATAAATAGTAATAACTGGTAGAGTTTAGCAATTCATTAATTGATGATGAGGTTGAATTTCCCAGTCAATAGAGGTGGGACCCAGCATCTATAATATTATTGTCTTCTCTGAGCATGCTGATAAAATTTGTAACAATTTGTAAAATCCTATGCTTTGAGCTATAGACTTTTAAAAGCTGATTGAGCTTTTTCACAACTGCAGGACATGTGACCTATACTAGATAAGTGCCCAGGAGGCCCAAACTCTATTCAAGAATCCATAAATGGTATCATCTCACCATTCTGTAGAAGAAAAAGAATTGACAAATGTCAATAGCCTCCAACAAAACAGATGACATATAGGGGTTTGGTACAGAGAATGTTTTGTGGGTTTTTCCTTAATCCTTTACTTCGTAGCACCAGATAAACGGTCTCAAAAACCATCAGAGGGATCACAGTATCAGCTCAATATTGGAAGCTTAAGGAAATTAAAACAAGCAGAAGGTTGAGCTGTGCCTGTTGGTTATGCTGACAGGTAAGGATGAGTAAGAAAGTAAGAGACATGCCAGGGACTGGGAGGCAGAGAAAAGATTTGTCACTAAAACCTACTGAGCTTTACCATTTGCCCAGCAAGGTTCTGCCTGCTGATGACAGCCTTGACCCTCCAAGTGAGAACCAATGAGGCTGGATAAAAGTGTCACCAGCTGGTTAATGTTGTAAGAACTCCATGAAGATTGTTCATACTCGAAGAGCAGGTACGTGTTTCTCCTGAGCAGAAATCCCACAGTTTCCTTCAATTCCTGAATGAAGAACCAAGATAAGAAAAAGTCAGTCTGTTTTACATTAATCCAGGACTGGTAGCAATAACAGACGGTAATAAGGTTGTTTCTTTCCTCAGAGGCACATTTGATTACTGTAAAGAAACTCCATTTTTCATTTTTCTCTACTTTTTAAAAAAGAAGTCGCTTCCCAGTAGCTTCAAAACTAGTTTTATGAGAGAATATAGAATGAAAGAAGAAGGGATAGTTTGATCAAACATCAAAGCTAGAACAACTCCAGAGTAGTACATTCTGCACTCACATTCAGTCCTCAGAATACTTCATAATCAGGAGAAAAACTAGAGGCAGGATGGATCACAACCCAGGGGACAGGAATTAGGGGAAAGCTAGTACGGTTCATAGACCTGAGAGCCTTCTAGGAGAGCCTTTTCACTGGTCCTTTCCACTAAATGGTGAAAGGGAGCAGGCAATTTACCTGTCAAATTTCATACCAGGCTTACCTCAACTACCTTTGTGAGAGAAAGAGGCTCAAAAGAAGCATCTGAGGGACGGGAGGCCTGGATGGGAGGAAACGGAGGCAGCAGTTCTTGTGGTTGAATCAACGGGAAGAGCCGCCCAATTATAAGGTTGACTGGGAAGATAATGACAGCAGTTTGGATGCTGATAAGCAGTTCAGACCAGGTCACAGCAAATGGACCCACTGAAAGAAAAGCATCACATCAACCTTCCTCTCCAACCATTGAAATCATCAGCAAGTCATGCCTTTCCAAGGTTTAAGTGTTTATGCAGCAATTTAATTATGATTATTAAGGGTAGAAAATGATCATGTCAGTAAAGATCCTGACGTGTTCCTAAGGCTGCTTCACTTATTAATGAATGAGAACAGTGAAAACATGTGTTAGTATTCTAATGCTAGGGCTGCAAAGGGGAAACAAAGGCTCATCACGATTCTGTTTCTAGCCTGAAGGTAAGGAGAGTGGACCCCATACCACAAACAAACACAGTCGGGCTCATCCGTACCTTGCTCATCTCTCCTGGCAGTGGCACTGTTTATCTTCCAGAACATCACATTAATGACCATGTTGCAGAGCAGGAGGGTCATGCAGCAAGTGAGCCGCTGGACTCTGGTAAACTGGTTCCAGGGATGTCGAGTTGCAATCGAGAGCCACAGATAATCCTGGGTGAACTTTTCTACAATCATGGAGGAGAACAGGTGCCTAAAAAGATCCATCAGCACAGGAAAGACATGAGAGTTCATTGTGAAAGTGCCTTAGACCCAGACATGGTTTGCCTGGCCCAAATACAACAAGCCACGTAGCAACAACGCGGCCACTGTTCCACACCTCGGTGAAGAAGCTTTCAGATGACAGACAATATGATTCTTTTATTATTTTAGGGTAAAAAGTTTCTGAGGATCAGGTAAATTTATGTTGTATGAGATTTTAAAATTAAAAGCTGTTGTTTTAGCTTTATAAGAATTTTGATAAATATTTTTACTCTTCAAAAGTTTGCATTAGGCTTCTACTCAAGACAGTTTGGTAAATACATGTTTTGAGCACCATCTCTATTCCAAAAGTGAAGGAACTATAAATAAGATATAAAAATCAAGAACCAAAAATATTGGCTGGGCTTAAAAACAAATACTTACCTGTGAGGAAGCGAAATGGGATGAGAAAACGGGGGGAAGAAGCCACGGGCTTATTAAGCTCCAGGTCTGGAGTGGACATGGGTGGGAGTTTGACTCTTGTAGGGTGACTGGAACTAATAATGTTCCATAGGCTGGGGGAAAGGGGGATAGAAACCAACTTCACTGCTTGAAGCCAACGTTGAGGCTGCAGCTCATGCAAAGATACTACAGAACAGAAAATTGCCGTAGAGCTACACATTTGTAGGTAGTGAAGTGGGCAAAAGAGGACAGCCCTATGACTGGAATTGAGCCAAGAGAGCCACTGGCTCATGGAAAGATCTGCAATAGCCCTAATTCCATTAATTTCATTGAGAATAGGAGCTCTAAAATGCTACAATATAATAAGGCCTAGTTCTAGACATGTGGAGGGTTGGATGGAAACAGCAGCAAAACTACTAGTCAGGAATGAGGGTGGAGAGAGATTGAGACAGACTGAGAGAGAGGGGGGGGAGGAGAGCACGAGCGAGCACCGGTTGGGGGGGGAGATATTTAGATTTAACTATAAAAATCACTCAAAATGAATATACAACCCCAAATTCCTGATCACAGAAGAAATCTAATGCTGAGAAAGGCAGCCAACATAATCAATAATCAGTCCAGAAGAAATTAATTTTATAGGACATTGTGACAGATTTTAAAATAAGTATTTCAGGTTGCTCAAAGATACAAGTAAAGAAATAATATTCACTTAAGGAGAATACAACAAAAAAGAAAGAAAATAAATACTCAAGAGTAGTTTAAAAACATGAAGGATAGTTTGAGAAGCTCCAACACACAGTAAGGGAATGTCAGATGAGCAGTATTTCCAGACTTTGAGAATTTTTCTGAGAAATTTTCAGAATTAAAGATATGATTCTGCATATTAAAAGTACAGTCTATGTTATATGTACTTTACCACAACAATTTTTTTTAAAGTCCCTTCTGAGTACCAAACAGGATAAAAACTAAATCCACAGTAAAAAGGATTATAGTAAAATTTGGAACATCAAGGATAAAGATAAAATATTAAAAAGAGACAAGGCAGTATACTTTAAAAGAATAACAGCTAGACTGACAGGAGACTGACACATCAGAGGCAGTGTTGGAAGGCAGTTCTCCATGAATACTTCACATCTAGGCACTAATAAAAAGTTGGCTTCTGGACTACCTTTGAAGGTATGTTGGTATAAGCAGACAGCCCTGGAAAGATAGAGACAGTGTCTGTCTTTGGAGCAAATTTACTTGAATTTCCAGATTGTAAAGACAGAGCCGCTCCCCTCCCCAGAGACATTCTAGGGTAATAAAGGTAGAGACACCTTCTTATCACACCTTGAGAGATTTACTTATATTTCAAGGTAACAAAGATAATGTCTCAACCCACAGGGGAGAATAGGCAGGTTTTCCAGCAGCCCCTCTGTCAGATCAGTCTCCTAGTCTTGGGATTTCTGTTTTGTGATGTATGTCCACTGCATGGGACCTGACACAAAATTATTACTTGGTGGGCTACTAAATTATCTAAATCTATCTGGGTCAGAGAAAATGGTGAGGTGAAGACCTCTGAAAATTCTCCCCTCCATGAAAGCAATGATAAAACTTCTTTTAAAAAGCCAGAATCAAAATTTTCATAACTCTGGTAAATAACCAAAGATCTGTAGCAACCTGGGAGTATTTATTCATGAAAAATGGCTGAATAACAGTAAGAACAGTGAGAGCTTTGTGGCACTTTAACCCATCTCCCTTTCTCTAGCTCTATGGGAACCTTGAAAACAACACTCTTCAATCACAGTGAAAACTAGCAGCCTGGCAGCCACTAGAGGGGGCAAGACAGGGTTGGAACTCCTTCAAAGCCTCATTCCTGGAAGACTGTTTATGTGACCTGTCTGATGGTTTCCTGGAAAACCCCACTTGCAAGGCTGTCCTCATTTGGCCTGTGTGCTCACCCACTGCAAAATGCATTTTTCCTGTGGGCACTGCCAAAACTATTCAGAGGCAATTGTTTAACTTCACAGCTGCCTGATATGGTGGACAAATAACTGGCTAACCAAAAAGCTAAAATGAAAAAACTGGAAAATGAGAAGTCCAGAGGAGTTCTGGAAAACTCTGACATATGGCCACACCCACGCCCAGGGCTGTGTGTAGGCTCAGGAAATACCAGAGAGGGCCCTAAGCTTTCAGTGAGCAGGAAGTGAGGGTTAAGGCAGTGCTGTAAATTGCCTTGCTGAGTGTTGAAGGCATGTGACAACATGCACACAAAGCCCTTCAGTAACAACCGGGAGACTTACTGGTTCGAGGCATTTAAATCTCTGTCCAACTGTTAGCTGACCACTCAACTAACTCAGCAGAACCTTCATTTTCCAAAGATGACAAAGAATGACAGACTTTATAGAATTAGTTCAGAAAAGTCACTAAACAACAACAAACACTGAGAATAACAAATGCTTGGGGAGGGGAAGGAAATCTGTTTTCTAGAGTTGCCATAGTCTGTTATTTAAAATGTCCAGTTTTCAACAAAAGATCACAAGACATGCAAAAAAAGTATGGTATGTGCGTGTGCACACACACACACACACACACACACACACACACACACACACACACACAGAGCAGTCAATAAATTGTCCTTGAGGAAGCCAAGACACTAAACTTCAAAGACAAAGATTTCAAATCAGCTATTTTAAATGTGTTCAAAGGACTAAAGGAAGCCATGTCTGAAAAACTAAAGGAAATGAGAATAATGTCTTGCCAAATAGAAAATATCAATAAAGATACATAGATTATTTAAAAAAAGAACCAAGTAGAAAGTTGCAATTGAAAAATACAATAAATAAAGTGAAAAATTCACTAAAGAGGCTCAACAACAGATTTGAGCAGGCAGAAGAAATAATAAAAAAACTTGAGGATAGGTCACTTAAAATCATCCAGTCTGAAGAACAGAAAGAAAAAAGAATGAAGAGAAATGAACAGAGCCTCAGAGATTTGTAAACACCATCAATTCCCAACAATACCTAAAGGAAAAGAGTTCTTTCTTTGAGACTGGTGTGAAGACCCGGTCACGCTCGCAGTTTCCAAGGTCCACGGCCAGCCAACAATTGCACAGGAAATGCCATTTTCTTTTACCTGCCATGTCACTGACAATTACTTGGTTTACATACCTAAAGTAAAATGAAGATAATCATGTTAGGGAGGTGGGCACGAATCAGTTGCTGTAATAAGTAATCCCATGGAAACAACCATCAATGGATGAATGGATAAAGAAAATGTGGTGT